ACTGCGGTTCAAAGTGCAAAAAAGACCCTCCGTCGAGAGGCAAGTGGCAAGAAGTTGCGTTCCTTGGTGGGTACACACGTGAGATTCCGACTTGTTTCGTCACCGGCGAGGTGCTCAGGCCGACGTAGTTGCTGCGTCAGTCGAGTGGGGGAAAGAAGATGCATCAACTGCATCCATGCACTCTTAGTGCAAGTTGTGGGCACTCTTAGTGCACAGCAACGGGATACGCTATCCCAGCTCCAGGGTGCATTNNTTTCCCCGCGACTCTCGGCTGTGCCGTGAAAACATTGTGAGTGTCTGCATTGATTTGACTGTGTACATATTTGTATAATTGATGAGTTGAGTGTGATATCTATATTTGTTATGGACGACTGGATCTATAACGACATCAGTTTTGATGCTGAAGGGGTACCGGATCCTCTCTATGGACCATGGTACGCAGGAACTTTGTCAGCAGAAGATGAAGCAGGGGCCGCGGTTGCTGCGCTTCGAGATTCAGCAGTAGTTCATCAAGAACTTTTCCGTGAAGTAGATGCTTTTCTTGATTCCAGATTCAGCGCGTTCAGTGCAAGACCAACTTTTGTGACTTACTGGTGCAACCATCGCTTGATCGCGGTGGCAACCACCATCCACATCGGCTCAGTGGTTAATGTAGCCAATGTAGCGGCAGTGAGTTGTTCTTGGATGAGAGCAGTGTCACAAGCAGTCTCACATCGAGAAACTGTGGTCTTACGCCGCTTGATCAATGCGTCAGATACCCGAAGGTTTCGCCATAGGATCCTGCAGGATGATTGGGACATGTATGAAGGCCATTTTCATGTTCGGATTTACAGTGCGGTACACAGAGGCCGCATGATTTCTCCCAACATGTGACAATACGCTCGGAGCAGCGTTATAAATCGAGTCCGGTCGAGAGTTCATCGCGTCAGCGCTTGCCTTGTCAGAGTGTGTGACTGTGGGCGGCGCAAGTTGTGCTCGCTGGAGCTGGCGTAGGTGCCTGGTGTTACATGCTATGCCAGGCCGGCCACATTGGAAGAATCTGATTATGAGCAGATTGTTCTGTGTCCGCCTGGAAGTGTGCCCAACATGTGCCTCTTGGATCATCTGTGAAATGGGGCCCAGGCAGGGCCTATCGGTTGGGCAAAAAGCCCGTGGACCAAGGACTATGCAGTCCACGATTATGAATTCTTGGGTTGTTGGTGAAACCGCGATCCACCCCATGGGTAATTTGCCCTTGAACTGACAAATGTGTCTCATGTGTGTGATTGGACTCTCTCTGAGGGCCAAACAAGGTCCATCCACTGGGCAATGAGCCCCTGAACAGACCAAGGGCTATGCTGCCCAGGACGATGCAGTCCATGACTATGAATGATTGAGTCTTTGGTCAGGCAGTGTGCCCATGAATGGACAGATGTGTCCCATGTGTGTGATTGGATCCTCGGTCTGAGGGCTAAGCAAGGTCCGTCCGCTGGGAAGACTATGCAGTCCATGACTATGAATGATTGGGTCAGTGGTGAAACCGGGATCCTTCCTTTGGGCAGCACGCCCTCGACTGGACGATTCGTCCTTCGTGCAATGTGTCCCTGTCGTCGGTTGATACGAGGTCCAGACCCAGTCCATCTGTTGGGCAGTTGCCGACCATGCGGTCCAGGACTACGTAGTAGTCTAGGACTGAATGGGTCAAAGGCAAAGCCGGGATCCATTCGATTTCTTGGGTCGTCCTTGAGTGCAGGTGATACTTGAGAGTTTGGTGCAGCAGCCGTGCTACTTGCTAGTGGCAAATTTTCTTTCTGCTGCTATTATGACGACGGGCCAAACCATAAGTACATAGTTGCCCAGCTCAGTTCTCTGTTAACCGGGTGCAAGCGCAAGAGGTAAGTCTAGCTGGTCTTTGAACTTGCAGCCTTTCTGCTGTTTACATGCGCGACACGTGCATTCAGGTACTTGTGCAATGATAGGGCTGAAGCGGACTGGGGTGATTGCCAAGTGAGGCATAGTGGGCTATGGCCTACTCCGATACATGTTCTTCAACGTGCGAATGTGATATCCGCAGTTCGCCGTGTGAAAAGAAAGCCCGGATTGATTCAGTCATGTCAGTTGCTGTTATGTGAATGTGTGATTTGATTGAATGGTTGAATACATTGCTGCCGATTTTACGTTTTATATGATTGGAAATATCAATCAAACCTACACTTGATGACGAAGTCATGCTTGTGTAACATATGATCGAGAGATTTAGGGGAAATTTGATAAGGGATTGAGTGGATGGAATATGGCAAAGTTATTTGATTGAATAACTTTTTGAAAGTATGTTGCTTTCCATATTTGGGAAGAAAGATGAATATGATGAGTCATTGGGACTGCGCCAAGCTGGCAATCGTAAGCGGTTGGAATTACTGCAGTCTGTGCCGCAGTATGCCATGTGTATGAGCTGACTCAAATTTAAAAACAGGCGAGTGTCATCCCAATTGCCGGCACTGGGCCAGTATGTGTCAATTGCACACTTTTCCATGCTGAGCATTGCATGGCCCAAGAACATTCAGACATGCACGAAACTTGTACGTTGTCATTTGCGAAGCCACAGCTCATACATGTAGCAAGGCAACTGCGCAGCATCCTTGATAGATTCGACATGCACATACAAAAGAGAAGGCCAATGCAGTCAACTGTTAGTTCATCACAAAATGTTATGCATCCTTTTGATTAAATCAATCAGCCGTGTGCAACTTCAAAATGTTAAGCACGCTTCTCTTTGCAATCCGTTCGTCTGCATGGCTGCTTGACAATGGCAGGAACCTCTGTGCGTTTGGGATTTTCATGATGTCCTGCATGCAGCGTGTGTTTGTATTTACTTGTTTGAGTTGCTTAGGCTATACTTGCACAACCTCCACGCAGCTGGACGACCGCATTTGCTGACTTTTGTTGTCATCGGAGATGCATGGGTGAAAATCAGCTTCCTTGTGAAACCAGGATGTTGGGGACGCCGCCGAAAAGAAGGCAATCAGCCGGCTTTGAGTTTTGTGTTTTGTCATTTGCTTCCTTCTTTCTGCTTGATCAGTTTGCGCCTGGCTTCGGTTCCGAATCTTCAGAGAAGGAGCGCTTCTCCAGCAGTCTGGGCCGCAGTAGAGGTTCTTTGCACAGGATCGCTTGAATGCCAGTCAAGCGAGCAATGAGGGCTGTTCAGGTTGAAGAGTCGGCCGGCGGCCCTCGCCACCAGACGAGCAGGCACGGCCTTCATCAGGTATCGTTTTGCACGTGTGTGTGCGAATTTTGAAGGTCCTCTCGAAGCTTGCGGTCTTCTTTGCATTCCGGGTGTAAAGTTTTGTGCTCGGTTTGCAGATGAGTGGTAATGCGCTGACCAGAGCAGTGGTTAGCCTTTGCAGCGCGTACTTGTAACGAGCCTGAGGACCTTAAGGACTTCAAACGTGTTGCGCGAGGCCAGAAGCATACAGCCTTTTTTGCATGTGTGTTCATGTGATGCATTTTGTGTCCTGCTCTTCTGATGCCCATGCAGCCCGGCGGTTCACACGGCGTCAACCTTTTCAGCGAGTCGTTTTCAATAGCTTTGTGCGGAAAAACGTTTTTTGCTGTCTCAAATTGTGTGATGACATGCTTGGATCACTTGCATTTTGCGCGTTTGCGTTTTGAAATGTTGTATCCTAAAGTGTTCTTGAAGTGCAGCGAAGCATTGACGGAGGCGCCGACGCCAACCGTGCTGTACCTCGAAAATTTACCAATTCCCAGGCGAATTTGCATGAGCTTTAGAGGCTTGATCATTGCAGCTGTTGGAATCATCGTAGAGTGCAGGACGATGGCGGAACTGGAGGTTCCCACAGTGTTTGCCCCAGGTCTTGCAGGTGATATGCAGCATGAACGTTCCCTGCCGAACCGTCCAAATGACATTGCTATTAAGCTTCAGCTATGACCACATGGTAGTCATGCATGGTGGTAGACAGGCACCTACAAAAGCTGCAAATTCAAAAAGCATAGTGTTATAGTACAGCAAAGTAGTGAACCCATGTACGGTTAGCTTGCCTAGCATGACAGGACAGGGGGCGCAGTATGAGCATCTGCAATCCAGTCAAGGAGTTTTATTAGTTAGCCAGTCTACAGTGTCTGCTGGCGGGCCATGGAAACACGCTTCGAGCAGTTGCTCTTGGACGTGGCCCAGGCGCCACTCTAGGTGAAAGGGAAGCTGGAGGGAGGTGTGTATGCACGAAAAAGCAGCAGGAGCATCGACGCGCTATTCGAGACTCAGCAGCATGATAAGTTCGGTGAGACGAACACAGATGAACACCACTTTCTTGTACAACAGTCGAGAGCCAGGAAATGCCTCACAACCTACAAATTCAACGGCATGTGTACGAGAGCCTGTCCCCGGAAGATGTCCCCTGCATGCTTCACTCATCCTGTCTCTGCGATTCTGAGGTTGCTGGCAGGACTGCCGCGATTCGGTTCAAGACTTCAAAAACGGGATACCTCAAAGCACGTGGCAGCTGCAGAAAAGAGCATACAAAGCAAACCCCAGCCTCTCGCTGCCCAAAGGATCCTGCAATAGTTTGTGTCTTCGTGACTTCAAATATCGTTAATGAGATCCTTGCCGCGAGTCCAGTCTTGTAGCTTGCAAGATCCCACGAGCCATAGCTAGGGGATCGTAATTTCAGCTCAAGGCAGTCGCTTAGCTCACAGAAGATGTGGGCAATTCGGGGTGCGAAATATTTGCAGGAGGAGCATGAAAAGGTGCTCCAGCAGCTGGCAGTCTTCCGATCCAACATCAAGGCCGGCCGCAATGGAAGCCTCTTTCATGATTCAATGATTTTTCTTTCGAGTGTAGAGTGTTTGCAGCAGCTGTTCACGCCGATGGCCCCATGGCCCTGCTAGCAGTTGATGATGTGGACTTTTCAGGGCGTGGACGGTGGACTTCTGGAGAGAGCTTCTCCTGGAGATGAGTGACCTGGCTTCAACGGTTCGGCTTCAGCGCTGCTCCAAAGCCGTGGGGAAGTTGCTAGGTCGGCTCTGCGTGAGCCTGAGAGCCTCCGCCAGTTGGCGTTGCCTGTTCCCCACAGGTGCAGCCACAGCTGATGCTGTTGATCAGTGGGAGTCACAATGTTCACAGTGTTGCAGGCCAGACCTGGAGCTAATAAAGCCTCCTCCCATGATAGAGCTGCTCGCGCTACCAGCAGACGATCGCAGGCCCTCTACTAGAAGCTTGGCAGCAGTTAGATGGGTGCTGTCTCCTAAGGCTGAGCTACTTGAGCCAAGGTTCCTCAAGGGCATCAGTTGCCTCATCTCCCGCGAGTACCCCGCGGCAAGAGCATCGAGCTTATGGCGGCCTTCCCGCCATTCCGGACTCCGATGGAATCCTAAGCTGCAACAAAGCTGCATGGCGCAGCCGTCGTGCTGCCCTTTTTGGAGAGCCAAGGAGAAGAGGAGTCGAACAACGGAGCCACACCAGCAACAGCAACAGCAACAGCAACAGCAACAGCAGCAGCAGCAGCAGCAGCAGCAGCAGCGGCAGCAGCGGCGGCAGCAGCAGCGGCACCAACAATGGCGGCCGACGCAGGAAAGCCTCCAAGTCGGCGCGTGAAGATCGGGGAGACGGAGGCAGACAGCATCGCATCACCGGTCTCTTCATGGCAAGATGCTTGTGTGCAGGAGATTGACGGAGAAGTGAACATCAATCGCTTGTCAAGTCCTAAAGCCCGTCCGAGAACAAGATCAACGGACCGCAGTGCTAGCGCACTGCCAGCCTATGGTCTTTACAGCATGTCAAAAAAGCGATCACTGCCAGGACTCTTCGCACTCGGCTGTCAAAGTGACTCCAACTGGCAGACGGGTGTCGACAGCAGAGGCTGCTGGTGTGGCTTGGCAGCCACGACTTGTCAGAGAGCATGCGCAGCCCCGCAGTCCATTCTTGCATAATTTTACTATCTCATCTCTTTTCTCCGAGTGGAAGACTGATGCAGACAAGACCATGCTCTTGTGCTTTGATGTCCAGGAGAAGTTAGCTCATTGAACAGATTCTGTTGACGGAGCGAATTTTGCACCAGCTTCTGTCTCTAAAGCCTTACAGTCTATTGGGTATCCTAAGTGGTGCAAGATTTCATCTATCCACCGTCACTTCCGCCTCTTGGACTTTGCAGACGCTTGCAGCAGCCTGGTTCCCACCGAGGAGTTGAAGGATTTCTTTACCTGTGGATAGCAAGTCACCGAATCCATGACTTGCACATTGTTGCGATTGAGCAGTCGCAGCTGCCCTGCCTGCCAGTGTAGCAGGATACATTACATACACAGTCTCCACTCTTTTTCAGTGGCATTTGTTGCCATACTTCGCTAGCCAAGGTCATGAGTTTGTCGCTGGATCTAAACGAGCGACTTCAGAAGGTCTTCTGCGTACAGGAGCCTCAATCAAAGGCAGCTTGGCCAAGGGCTCGGGACACTTTGCTTATTCAGAGCAATGAAGCCAGCAGGTCATCACCGGCGCTGAGCTGGCAGCAGTGATGCAGAGGCCGGCTGCAGTGATCGGATGTGAACTCAGCCAGAACTGCGTAAGACAAGGCGCTGTTTAGAGTTTGATGGGTGCATGTCGTTGAGTTATGCTCATGCTGTGACAGCATGTCAGGATATGTTTGCATGCTCAGGAACCGAAGGTTTGCGCCCCGGAAGGACAACGACGAGTTTACCAAGGACGAAGACTCGTGGCGCTGTGATGCAACCGAGCTTTCACAAATGTCACATGGCAGGAGAGGATGGAGAACATCATTCGTGAGATGAGGGTCATTGCTGCCAGGACATCTTTTCAGAGCATGTTGCCAGAAAGCAGTCTGCATCTAATTGAAGAAGACTTCTCATCTTGACACAACGTTCTTAGAAGGCCATCAGCATTTCGCATAAGCAGAGGCCCCCGAAAGCCCACGGCCAAGCTAAGGCCAAGCTAAAGCATTTGGCTGAGCAGTCCAGGGGACGATTGGTCTTTTGTGAATCCGCCTAATGACTTCGAGAGCCTGGAAGCCCCCAGCGCAGTCGGTTTCCTAACCTCGTCAACACATGTCATCATGTTCTCCTGCACGCAGCGCTGCTGTCAGGCTCCGTGGTGATTCACCCAAGAGAAGCGTGACACAACAGAACGTCATCTCATGGTTGGGCTCTTAGCAACATTCTTGAAGTAGATGCTTGTCGCTCGTCCAACTGTTGCAAGGCTATCCTTTGTGGAGCTCCTGTCAATTCCAGACCTTGCTGCGCAGGTTTGTTGCGTAGCATCCGCGAGCTTTCAAGGCTTTTGTAGCCTGGCAGGCGAGACCAGAGATGGTTCAGGACACGTCTAGCTGCGGTCTGCACATCAGTGCTTCCGGATTTGTGCATAGCAGGAGATGCACAACGTTTATGCCACGCTTCGTGACAATCGTGTTGTCCAGTTCAGCGGCTACGAGGCAGGGTCTGTTCGCAAATGCAGTGTGTGCGGCTGTAGCCACTCCCAAGTCATCATGATACACAGGCCGCCTTAAAGATAGCACTGGAGAGAAAGCTTTCTGGTTTGCGGGCTTGGGCCTAGGGGGGGGGGAAGGAGTTGCAGGGTCTAGGGATCAGAGGTTTGGGGCTTTACAGTAGGGTCTTGCTCAAGAAATACTCATTCATCTTGCGATTACATGAACATGCGCGTGAGAAATCAGTGCTTGAAACAAAAACATGTCAGATCCACGCCCTCGTCGCCTGGTGATGGTGTGTGTGAAATGAAACCCTCCTTCTGTTCAGTTAGGTTAAATGTCGCATTTGACGCTGACAAAACGATAGCTTGTCTAAGGCCTGGCTGGCTTCGTGATCAAACTTGGTGAGTCCAAATCACTGATTCATCAGACGATTTTGTTCAAGTACCGCGCTGCTTTTACGCTTTTGCGCTATGAGCTCAGGAAGTTTTTTGATCACTTAGGCTCGATCAATGGCGACTTTGGGGCCAAGACATGTAGACTTCAAGCCACACAAGCAAATGCAATTATGACGCAACTCTAATCCCCCCCAGCGATTAAAGAAACAGTCACCTTAGGAATTGCAAGTATAACTTGCATTCAACCAACTTCCTGTTCGTTTCCGAGTAGATACAGCACCCAGTCACAGAAAGTCAAGCAAAAAACATACATGGCGTTGAAGTTGCTCCATCTGGCCATCAGATGAGAAGCAAATGGGGAATCTCAGGTGAACCGTGTGTTGAAACCAGGCAATGGAGCATGGGGAGGTTTTCGGCAGGATTGGAGTTTGATTGCTATGCAGTTACACAGGCTCTTGGGAGGTCAAGAAGTAAGAGACTTGGCAAGACGTGCAACATTCAATAGTCATCGAGCTGTAAATGGGGAAGGGGAGGCTTTAGTCTTCAGCTTGCCGCTTGGGGATCATGGTCAGGCAAGCAAATTTGGCCTTCAGGCTTCATGTGGTCCAATTCAGGTGCCGGTGCTGTGAGAGTTGCAGTCTGCGGCATCCTACCCAGAAGTTTAGTTTTTTTTGACTCGGTGTTTTTTTTTGGTCTGGGTTGTGGAAATTACAAGTTACAGAGGGATGCCTTTTCCGATAGTTGTTGCAGCAATACTCGCCCACAAGGGGCCAGTACCATCAGAGATATTTGTGCAAGGTGCGCAGCACACTCATTCATGTGTGTGTTTTTCGTTCCACGGACACGTCTATATCGAAGTTTAGCAGCTGCACGTGTGCAGCGTCCAAGAGACGCACTGATTGAAGGTGACGGAGGTGCCGGTTGCAGCTCCGGCAAGTCCAGCTGAACGGCTCAACCTGAACCATACGTCTTTATCATCGCGCATCGTGCTGCCCACAACCCAAAGAGACCTG